TACATTAATTTGCTGCATAAGCTTGGTCTCTCCGCCGTAATATTTACTGTAGTCCTACACCTATGAATATAAAATGCTGAATGTAAAATGTTCGTCCGAGTTTGGAAAATTAAAGTACCATTCCAATGTCCAAAATTGCGTTACGTATGAATATAGACTCATAGTTTAGTGTACTTATATCCATGATTTTAAGAATGAATGTGTCTACGACGTTCGAACGTCGTAAAGTTCTACCTTTTATGCATCAAATTAAGACATTTTGGTGAAGAATAGTCTCGGCTAAGTTAGTCAATTTATTTTCGTTGCAAATTCAGGATCTTACACCCATAAGAAAAGTAGTATACGGTAATCACTTCAAGAGGACTTCGACGTATACATGGAATTTAATTGAGTTGTCTGAGTGTAAAAGTACTCTACTTGGACTCTCTCCCAAAAAATAATTTCTGTGGAGAAAATTAATCACTTTGTGTGTGTTTTTTCCTATAATGGAGGAGACAAATGCCTTGAAGCTGAAACTAAGTAATTACAGACTGTGGATAAAACATCTCAATCACACTATATTGCAACAACGGTCTTAGGAGCAGAACTCTTGAGGGGTACCGAACCCCCGGTCGGCCGGAGAGTCCCTTAAGAGTAATCATAATTAATCTTATGTCATATATATTCGACCATCTATCTTAATCATGATTATGTAGTTAGCCTCTCCAAATCCAAATAGCTAGTTCGCCACTGAAAGGTCTAACAACCCGTGGTGGCACATTTAGCCACTGTAATCCTCCAGCCGCAGTAGCAACTAAAGAAACAAGATTATACATAGCAAAATTAATCACTTTGTTGTAGAACTAGTTTAGATCAAGAAAATAAACTATCTCTTTTTTTAAATAAAATAAAATAAAATAATTTTCTAGAAGGAAAGAGTATTTAATTTATGAACGAAGACATCTAATGTTATATAGTTTCTTTATTCCAAAATTAACAAAAGTCTTATTTATTATATCATTTTAAACCAACAAGTAAGATTCTCATTTGTGGCACGAGAAAAACGCAAATTAATAGTTAATCATAGCTCACGTTTTCAATGTGGGACTATTCTTTTCTCGTTCACCATTTTACCATTAATTTTATGGTTACATGATTGTCATGATTAGTGCACAGAAATTTTACAGAGTATTCTAATAGAAAATAAATCATAATCATCCATATTTATACATTTTTTTAGGGATTTATCAATTTAAGGGTTAGACGAGAGTTAAGATTTAACCACCTCGTTCACTATAAATTTTCTTTGTCAAATTTTCCTTTCATATATCAGTACTTTTTATTTAATTGAACCGTCTCAATAAAATTCGAACCCCAATACCCTGACAATAACGTCTCAATCTTAAGCCTTAACTATGTCACCCAACCGTAGCACTATTTTCATGATTATAATTAATTCGTGAGATTTTATTCCAAACCCAAAAATTTAAGTTGAAAAAGCGCATAAACCATAACATCATGGAATGAGAGAATATTAGGGTAGAAAATTAATATGGGGTAAGACTTTGTCTGCTTGTCGAGCCCAACTTTACAAAAAATCAGAAAAAAAAGTGGAGGAAAAAAGAGAGAAAGAATAACGTTGCAGCAATAGACGGTGATATTTGTCAATGAGGACAACAAAATATGAATTACATTGTCCAAATCCAATAATAGTGCGTCAAAGTTGAAGAAAACAGTCCATGAAGGCTGTTTGGCATTCTGGTGAAGGAACTCAGTACGTTGCGCAGATTCACTGATTTTTTACGATAGGAAGGAATTGCCATATTTGGATAAATCAATTGTTGCTTTCGTCTTAAATTAGGTTCGGGTCACACCATTAATGAAAGAGTCCCAAACAAAGTTATATTTTTTAACTCAATATTTTCAAAAATGTTGTCTCATGTACGTTTATTCAACTAAAGTGTACACAAAAATGAGCAAAGTGCTTGGAATAAATAAATCGTTTGTAGCTTGACTTCCAATGCAGCTGTGAATTATTATTATTATTATTTTTTTTTTCCATATTTCCAGCAAAGAATTATAGTATCAAAGTAACTCAATGATGAGGTAGTCTGAGTCTTTGAGAGGAATTCAACTAAATCAACTTTTTCCCTAACAAAATGATAGAATATGAACTTTTACTTAATTGCAGTGGAAATTAAATTAAAAATTAAAATCTAAACTTTTAACTGGACTTCATGTTTAGACGTAAAAAGTATACTGCTGAATAAGAATTTGAGTAACTATCTGCATAAACGTCTCTAAAGTTACTCCTTCCATCAAAAGAAATAAATAAATTAAATAAACTGTATTTGTGAAACGAAAGAAATACTGGTTATGTCAATTAAGTAATAAGTAGTTTGTTATCTTCGAAATATGTCTTTAAATAGTCACTATACATAAAAATAATGATTAGTCTGAATATAATTTACACCTCCTGTCTTAAAATAATTTTTTATTTGGATTTTAATTTTCAAAATAATTTATACCATAAATAAAAATCCAAATTGTATGATTATTTCAGAACCAAGGAAGTATTATTTTATTAAGAGTTATTTATTGATGAAAGGTACGCCCAATAATTTGTACCCGAGTTTTTTAACTTTCACAATCATCTTACATCTTCAAAATTGAGCAGAAAGTAACATTCACAAATCATTAAGTGGATTATGCAACAACGTAACTTTTTATTGATTGTATTAATCAATTGTTGCTTGACGAAATCTAATTATTGTGTTCAAATGTGAGGAATCACGTAAGTTGGCCAGACAAAGGTAGAGTTACAAAGCAACTTAGGCTCCGTTTGGTTATCGTAAATAAATTAGAATTATAATACTATTGAATTGAAAATGAGATATTAATATTGCAATTCAATTCTAATTCTTTCATTTGAAAGATCTCAACAATTGACTAGAATTAAGTTTCTAATACCAATTCTTGTGCTTGGATCCTTATAAATTTATAAAATCTAGAATTAGAATTAGGTTTTTATTATCTAACTATAATTTAGTACTTTATTTCATTGAATAAAAGAAATACTTAATTTTATATATCAAAGCAGTTTATTACTTACATATATAAGATTAAAAAAACTTATTATGTAAATTCATATTAGAACTTTTGTTGTCTGAGTAATATATATCAATTTTATAATTTATAGATGTATACATACTTGTGGAAAACTTTTTTTTATTATTATTACGTAAGAAATATTAATGTGATGATTGGAATTCTCACAAGTAACATGTAGAACATCCTTGTTCCTCTCCTTTTTATTATTTTATAAATTTTTAATCTTTAGTTTTTCTTTTGGGTTTTAGTGGAAAATTTTTATATAGTTGAAAGTAAAGACCATTCATTTATATATAGATTAACATTAATACATAGTGCTAATTAATTATTTTTATTTTTAGTATATAATTACATATGGAATAATATATATTTTGACTTCTTGAAAACTTACATAATTTTTAGTGAAAAAATTTCAAGTATAGTTCAAAAATTATTTATACATTTGATAAAAAAAAATTGTTAACCCATAATTAATACCTTTTATTTTTTAAATAAATTACTGGTATAGTTATACATTTGATAGTTTTTGCCAAAAAAATATGAGTATAATACTAATTTTAATGTATAGATCTCATTAATAATTATCAATATGATGTACACCTCTTTTGCACAATAAATAAAAACATATGTTAATTTAACAAAAAGCAAAAAAAATAAAAATAAAAAATCCAGCGCTAAAAGAAAAGGGGCAAAAAACGAAAAAGAAAAAGGAAGCGCATCTGCAGCGCTAAAGAGAAAAAAAACTTCAAGTCTTCAAACTTAAAAAGACCCATTTCGTTATAACTCGGAAAATGACCCGCATGTGACCCGTGTTTTTTCTTAAGTCCCTAGAGTTCGAATTTTAATTATTTGCTCTCACAAAAGAATTAAAAATAAAGAATTGAGCCTCATCTTGAATTATAATTCTAATTCCAGAATTCCTACTTTTGTCAGCCAAACACAAGAATTGGAATTGAGGGCCTCCAATTCTAATTCTTGGGTCCAATTCAATCCAACCAGACAGAGCCTTATTAATTTTCATGGAATTCCAGCATAATCGGAATCCTGTAAATAAAATAATTGCACTTATATCTAAAACAACAATGACTGAGCTACTAAACAATAAAGTAAAAATTCACGAAGAGTGATGTTTATACAATAACTAATTAATGATAAAAATATAATTTCTGATAAAAAAAGAAGATAGAACTTCAACGGGAAAGTGCTAATAAGATTAAAGGTTATTTTATTATACATTATTAACTATTATGTTTCGCTATCTGTATGTTATCATGAATATCATTTTTCATCATCATATCTAAAAAGAGTCCTCTTCTTAAACATCCAATATACATATTTTCTTTAATGTGTGTAGTTTCCCTCTTTCAGCCTTTACTAAACTTGAACATATTCATCACCTAATTTGCACATGGAGGAGGATCCGAGTGACTAAACACATCCACTATATATGCCTTCAAAATCTAGTCTTACATGTTGTGCTCATACTACTTTCTGGTCCTCGAACTCTCTATTTAGCAATGAAATGACCAAGAAGTTTCTATCTTATGAAGTCGCCTTTCCAAATGATTCATTCCACAGTGTTACATTGTCTGATTTCACATAAGATCCAAGTCCCAATAAAAGATTCCAATGTATAAGAATGCTGAAAGCAATACACTAGAGAAGCGAAATATCATCCACCAGCTCTAGCCCTCAAAAATATAACTCCATAATGCACAAAGGTAGAAATGATAAATGGATGAATATGAACAATTGGTCCAAATGTACAATTTTATCATGTTTTTTAACTATAAATTAAAATAATATAAAAACCTAAGCAATATTGTGAATGTAAGTTAATTGCTATTTATAATAAGATCATCCAAGAATGTTATAACCTTACTTTAACAAATGATTTGAAAACTCTCTTTTCACTTTCGATGGTGATGTCCTGAACCCTTGAAACTATTCCTCTTTTTTACAAACTTTGACCTTCTACTCACTGTAGTCTGATCAGCAAGATTGACTCGATCATTACATTTCTTAAAGGATGGTTCACGTTTCAATCTAAGTGATTTTTCTCTGATCCCTACATGGGGGTGATAACTCTTCGGCCTCAAGGACCTTCTTACATGTTCTTTCCTATAATGCCTTCCTCGATGAGATTGGAGCTTTTGTTTGCCCGAGATGCGCTCTGGCGAAGGCATCGAAAAGCTTTCTTCAACTTCATCGTGATCATCGTTGTCTTCACAACTAACCCCCAATGCTTCAATATCTCTAGCTCGCCTTCTCCTTCGTGTTTGATTATGCTTATCAAGCTTAGAACAAAGGAAAGTGCAACAACATTCTAAGGTGGAGAAATAGATGGCACAACATGCCCATATACTTCTGCAGATGGTGTGACAAATGCATTGGCAAATACCCAACTTGTATGACAAGTAGAAGAATAATAGGACTGCAGATTGCGAAACATTTGTATAAGCTGAAGGATTAACCAAGAAGCTTTAAAGTCCTTAATTAGAGCCTAAAACCATGTTTCACTAGTTATTTTGTGGTTTCAGAACTATGTATTTTAGTCAAATGTGCCTTAAATTGTCTTCACTTATCCTTTCTACAAAGTCCAAATGGTGACCGATAAAGTCCTAGCCCTTAAAGCATCTAAACAAAACCTTGCTTTCTTTCAATCAAATTTTTTGTTTTACTAATCAGCTATATATACCTTAACTTAAGTTGTCTTGCAAAAATCCCTTTTGTGCCATTCAATCCTGCTTAATATCACATTTTGTCTACTTTACTCTTTCCAATCACTAGCAAATTCCTGATTCTTTCCATGATTAGAAGGTCGGAATGAATAAATTGAAATCCAAGCACTGAATCTATTCAAAATGATTCATGCCTGACCTTCCTTACATTCTAGAAGTGCAATACAAAAAGGGGGATCATAATCACAAAATAAACTCAAGATCTTGATAACCCTTAAGTACTTAAAACCTTGAAGTTTCCTCTTAGAATCATTTGCAAGGTAAGATGGAAAACTTACCAAAGTACAATAGGACTACAACCAAAGCCAATTTCAGCAGCTGCGAGATGCAGAAGTTCTCAATGTAACACATGAGGTCCCATATCAGTCCGCAGTTGGTGCTGCAAAGTAGAAAAAGCAGACTTTCTTAGAACTTGATATAAAATACCTCAGTCTCAGAAAAAGTACTCCCTCCGTCCCAATTAATAGTCCACATTAAGTTTCGAAATTTCTAATAACTCTCAAAACTCAATGTTAACAATTTATTTATTTATTATTATTTTATTTTATTTTTTGACAGAGGGAGAAGTACACTTTCTTGTACTGGTTTAGTTTAACAAAGTGAAATATTTTTCTAGAACGAAGAAATAATAAGCAACTATCAAAAAGTGAGTCACATTCTGAACACCGCATATTTGATCATAGTGCATACCTGCATGACTTCCCAGATAAGAAGTCAAGTGGATGGCCTAACAATTTCCCTAACACTTCAGAGAATCCAGTTAATACTGAACCGACAATACTCCCCATTCTTGTATGATCAAAAGAGCTAATAAAAACGGAATCATCAAAAGCATCACAAGGCGTTCCGCTCTTCGTTATCTAACTAATCCGTGTCATCCATCATTTCTATTGAATTTTCCTACAAAACAATAGAAGCAAAGTAAATATGGCATCATCCATATGATCATCAGACCAATACATTAGGAATTGTATATGCAAAGGCATCAATCCAATTCCAAATCTTCAAGTACAGCGAGAGAGAAAGAAATTGTCATTTCAAAATCCATCGCTGTTTATTTGATTCATGAGCAACATTCCCTCAATGACACATTTCATTCCGAGCCCCTTTCTCAATGCCAATCAAAATTATCCAAAATCAATACTCACAAACAACATTCACATAATGAGTAATTAATCAAACCCTAAGACATGCAGCTTAAATTTTTCTCGGTGGGGTAGAAAACCAAAACACATTCATGGCAAAAATATAATCAAACTCTTAGTGGTCTCCAATAAGTATTAAGAGAATTAAAGTTAATACCCTAAACCCAACACCAAAACAAACACCGTGAGTGCAACAACAATGCAGTCGATTGATTACCTTCCAGGAAACATTTTTAGAACAGTCCAGAAAAGAATTCCCAGAAAAGCAATGAAGCGTGGGATTGACGATAATGGAGTTACATTATGATGTCTGTAACCGTTGGCAGTTACTGTTGAAGTACGAAATGGAAACCACTCCAAAAAAAAAAAAAAAGGTTTTCAATGCTTGTTTTTAGAATAATGAATAACGACTTTAATTTTTAAAAAAAAAAAGAAAAAAAAATCATGATGGAAAATTGCTAGACAAACTGTATCCCCTGAATTTTTTTTTTTTTTTTTTGTGTTCGCATTTTTTTTAATCTTATTGCTCGTTGGCAGTTACTGCCGCGCGACTCGTTGTTTTATTATATATCCACATGTTTACTTAGACTTATATGTATTTTTCGTGTATTTTTATTTTTATGTTTGGAGTCTGTAGTAAATTCCAAGTTGTGTAACAAATGAGTTCGAATTAAGGGAGGAAGAAAGAGAAAGGCTTGTTTCTTTTTCCCTTTCATTTTTCGTTCTTCCGCCGTTGAACTTAGAACTCTCTTTCTCCGATGTGTGTTTGATGGAAAATGTATAAAATGGTCCATCTACATTATTCTTTAGGATGGTTTTCCAATAATAATAAAAAAAATAGTACAGTACAAATTTTGATCCAGAGCCATTGTATCTGAAATTACAGGTACTATAGAATGAAATAACAATGCCCTACATTTGCTAAACTTTCCAACTACTCACTCCGTCCCAAAATAAGTGTCATTCTAGAGTTTGCACACAGTTTAAAAAATCATTAAATAGAGTAGTTAAATTACTAGAATATCCTCAACTAACCCTATTAAAATAAATATTTACCAATAATATTATTACTTTTGAGGGTATGTTTGGAAACTTTTGACGAAAAATGTATTGGAATCCGAAAACGACACTTATTTTGGAATTTTCCATTTTGCTAAAACGACACTTATTTTGGAACGGAGGGAGTATTTTTCTTCCCTTAATAAGACCCCAAATCTTCTTATTCTTTTTTAAGAAAAAAAAAATCCACCCTAATAAATTCCACTTACATATGAAAAAAAAAAATCTAAAACTCAATTATTACCTTATAACGTCTATTTCAAGAAACAAGTCAACCGACACTCTTACTTTTAGGAAGGAGAAACGGAAATTAATTCTTATTTTAAAACAAAGGGAGTCCCTCTTAGTTTAAATTCTTAATTAAATATGATAGATATCGACTTATTTTGTGGATTTTTTTGGTAAATTTTATTGGCCGGAGAAAAAATAAATAAATTCACACGCTTATTTAAAGTTTACTATCTCAAACCCCTTACCCGATCAACTTTTATTACTTTGGTTTTCTGCACTCTTAATCTAATTTAAAAGCAGTCAACTTGAAAGTGCTGCTTAATTTGAAAATAAGGAATTTCAGAATTCCCCAATGCTCTCATTTCTGTCTCTTTAGTGGAATAGAAGGGAGCCTTACCAATAACATGTGTTCGAAATTTTATGGTCAAATGAGTCAAGCTGCTGCGCAATTCCTTCCAAACTCCAAATTATATTCTAAATCCTCGGCTATATTGCGCTGCAACGGTTTTCAAATTCGACCACGTTTTTTTAAGTCTTAAAGTCCAATTTCCAAGACATGTAAAGGTGGTGATATATGGTAAATATACATGGGCCAATTGATCTTCATTGGGTTATTTTTACCGAATAATGTAACTTGAGGGAGTCGTTTGCAATAAATATTCTCTAAGAATATTCATACAGCGGTCTAAACTTGACTTTTTTTTCATATTAGTCGGCTTTTTTGTGTTTTTGGTCAACACTCTCGATTTTTGGTCAGCACCGTTAAGATAAAATTCGACAAATGGAATATTCAAGATCCTTGTTTGGCGTATTATATGATTTTTCTTTTTTCTTTTTTTGGTAAACTGTTAAGCTTTGTATTAACTTCATCAATAACTGAAAAACTGTACAAGTTTCTTATCTATTACAAATCTGTAAGAAGTTTATACATTTATTCCAATCTGAACTAGTCATTTTTTATCCTTACTTTTTACTTTCTTGCATTTAGATTGAATGCTCCATTTCATTATCCTTTTTATGTCCTCTAACCTCAACTCTGCCTTCATCTCCTTCTGTCCAAATCTGTGTCCATTTCTCTCCATCCATATACCATAGATGATAGCATTAATATCAGCAAACAACACCTTCTGTCTCAGATTATTTTTTTCCATATTCTCAGCCATCTTTGAACATTCAGCTCAGTAATTGCATTTCTGATTCCCATCCAAGTCTTCAAACCCTTCAACAGTTCATGTGCATAATCACATTTAAAAAATAGATGATCTACACTGTCCGTTTCTTTCCTACATAGACTGCAATCTTTGTGATCCACTGGTATCTGTAGGTCCTGCAATCTCTGAGCTATGATCAGCCTCTATTTTCAAGCTAACTAGCTTAAAAAGCTGTGCTTAGGGATACTAAACTGACTCCAATTGATCTTGGCGGCTTGGCTTTTACTCCTTTCTACTCTGATCCAGTATTATCCCCCCCGTGCAGTGTAAGTTTTGCCACCTTTCCCTAACCATTGGCCTTGATCAATGCTATTATGAAGTAAATCCTTGATCCTCATCAGCTTTTTCATATGCTAATTACTGTCACGTGGGCATTTGAAGCTCCATAAATCCCTTCCTTTCAGATAAAAACTATGCATCCATTTCACCCATAAGTTTTCTTTATTTTTAGACAGATCCCACAACTATTTTCCCATTAAAGCCATTTTCCAGCATCTTGGTTCCTTGAAGTTCAGGCCTCCTTCTATTTTCAGGCAACATAAGTCATCACAGGAAATCAGTGACCAGCTCTTACCATTGTCTTTTGTCCCCCCAAAGGAAACTCCTGCACTTACATGCTACCTGCTGTATGACATTTTGTGGGATAAGAAAAATATTTGCCCAGAAAGAGTTAATACTCAGCAAGACTGAGTTAACTAAAACTGTTCTCCCTACATAGGAGAGATGTCTTGAACTCCAACAATTGATTCTTGCAACAATATTGTCCACTAGAGTTTGACACTCTACTTTTGACCATGTTGTGGGAGAAATTAGCAAGCCAAGATATTTCATTGGAAAACTAGTTTCTTCAAATCCAATAATCTGCTTTATCTCCTCTTCTATTTCACCTGTTTTCACACCAAAGTATATATTTGACTTTGTTAAATTGACAGAAAGTCCAGTGTTTCCTGAAACTGTGACAGTACTCCTTTGATCCTTCTAACTGTTTCCACATCAGCTCCACAAAAGATTAATAAATCGTCAGCAAAGCATAGAGATATTATCTTTTGTTTTTCACAGTAAGGATGGAACTTAAAATCCTGCTTCTCAGCTTCTATCTTCAAGAGTCTAGTAAGATAATCCATTACCATTACAAATAGCAATGGTGACAATGGATCACCTTGTCTCAATCCTCTTTTCCCTTGAAAATATCTAGTGATACTACCATTCAAATTCAATGAATATGACCTGATTGTCACACATTCCATTATCCAGTGCCTGACTTTATTTGGAAAACCATATTCTTTCAGCATCTCATCAACAAAGTCCCAATGTATAGAGTCAAAAGCCTTTCTGAGATCAACCTTCATAACACAGTTTAGAACTGTATTCTGTCTTCTATATAATCTGATCAACTCCTATGCAAGCAAAAGAATAGAAAAATAAAAAACCATCACTACTTCCATTCTTCTTATTGATTAGATTCTTTGAGCATAAATTTTTTATTGCTTTATAAAAATTAGATTCTTTATATAAAAATTTTACATTTCCAAGAAGCACCACATAATTTTTGTTCCTTCATATACCCCTCAACCAACTAACCACAAAAATATTTCAACTCCATAAAGTTATATAATTATTTCTTGTAATAAAGAATGGAGAGAGTAAATAAGAGTAGAAATGAAAGAGGAATATAGTTCGCAAAGCGTATTATGTATTTTTTTTTAAGAAAAAAGACACATCTGTTTAATAAATAGACATAACACATGAATTTTCTTTTTAAATAAAACATATATATGCGCCTTCTTTCCTCTTTAGAAAAAAACAAAAGTTCTCTGCATTCACATTTCATATTTTTGTATTCAAACTCCATATTTTTTAAGCTCTTCTTTCAGTAAGATTAAAAGAATGTACGAATAAAATTTTTTTTTAAAAAAAAAATTAAAATATAATATGCATTGAACAATTTATGTTGAACATCAGAATTTCTTTTACTAGTAGATAATTAAAAAGTATAATTGAAATTAAAACAAAACTGCTAATCTGGAAAGTATGTGTTCTTTTTTCCTCTTTTTTTTGGTTACATTTGCACAATTCTCTCCTGTAGTTCAAATTTGACAAAATGACGAGCATATTATGGATGAAAAATATATTAAAAAAACAAAAAGACAGAAGCTCAGCAAAAATATTGCTTTATTACAGCATCAAACAAATGACACAATTGAGCTCGAACCCAGCTGCCCATTAAAATTGATCAATACATCGGACCTCAAAAGCCCATTATGGAGAAAGGAACCCAAAAGAAGAATTGACGACGGTGGACACCCGCAAAATATGAAAAAATAAATAAATAAATAACTCCCTTCTCCTAAAGCAATTGTATTAGTACACAGAGGGAGTAGATAATAAAACAGTTTCACAAAATTTTGCATTGGAACTCAACGGCAATACCACATACAACAGTCTGAACAGAGCTTCTTCAGTGTCTCCGCCTCGAATTTACAAGCTTAGTTTGGTCAGTCATCGCCACTGATCCCAGAAATACGCTGCCGCCTCTTGTCGAAGACAGCTTTAAACGACTCCCTTTCAGACTCCCGTTCAGCGCGTAATCTCTCTTCAAAGACATTTTGCTTTCTTGATACACCGCTGCTTTGTGAAGACGTTATCTTCTTCTCTTTATCTGAGAGGGGGTTTGACTTCTGCACTTGTTGAAAACAAACTGTCAAGTCAATGTTATCTACGAGGAAACGGCTTGACAAACAGTGCCAAAAAGGACAAGAGAAAGAAGTGCTTATCAATATTGATGGAAAATGATTTTACAAATAATGATATCAACTCTTGCTGATAACAGAAATTTACTTAAGTGCCAGCCTATCAGAATAGGTGGAGACTAAGTCTCTTCTCACCATATTATATCCAGCACCAGGACCTATCACCAAAGAGGCTACATGCAAATTTTTTGCAGCAGCAATTGAAAAGCCAGAATTCCCAACCTGCAAAAACGATATCCCACATTTATATTCCATGGCTGCCTTTTGTCAGAATGCATCAACAACTCTGTCTAATCGCTTCAAAGGCAGGCTTATGACAGATTTCCAATCAAGTGTCAGAGATATCATTGCAGAAATACATGGAAGGGGCAACCCCACTGTTAAAATCACTTCGTACAGACCACTACCTTTTGTTCCTTCAGATTAAATTTTCTCTAGTACGCAGTAACATCTTTTTAAACTCCATTATATCCCCAAGAAATTTTGAATAAAAGAGTTCAAATGCCAAGATAGTGGCAATCTATTTCACACCTCCCACTATTTGTCTAATGAAAGTTTTCCTTGTTAATAAATTCAGCATCAATTTATCCCACTGACTCTGGTGACTGAACATGCAAAATGAACAATCATTTTATCAGACATACTAGAAACAGAAATCCTATACCGCATTAAGCGCCACCCAAAGATGTTGCTGAACATTGAAAATAACTATACAATAAGCAACAACAATTCATTTACAGATAGCTCGCGGGCACCAATATGAACTCAAGAGAAATCCAAAGCTTACTAAAATTTGGCACATTATAATTGATATTCTTTTTGGATTGCACCCATGACCTCCTTGTTATAAGACTCCAATCTTTCCTCCCCACCCAACCCTCCCAGCAGGACGCACAGAAACCATTTAAACCAACTACAGGCAAAAGATGCAAGCAACACAATTTAAATTCAAAATAAACAGAGAAGCCAATGGTTTAGTTTCAAAGATAAAAAGTTTCTATCCATTTATTTGAATTATATCAAAAATAAAAAGATAAACTATGCTCAGGTTAATATAAAGCCAAGACTTTCTAGCTACATCCTTTATTCCAATTTAGGAAAGAAAATTGAGGGTTGGAAGCTATCTATGTTTTCAGATTTCTTCAATTTAAAAGAAAATAAATAATTAGTACCAACCAGTGATTGAAATGATTTGCTCTAATCACTTTAGTAAAGTGTTCACATGCTACAAAGCCAAAGAGAATAATGGTCCTACAGCATCAGGGAACTTTGCAACTAATCTAGTGATAATCATCAGCATGAAGAAAAGCACAGCCAAATGCATGCTCACTGAGACATACCTCGTCACTCCAACGCACTGATTTACCTTCCTTATTACAAGATTTTAATAACAAACCAGGAACAGGAGTTAATTTACTACTTAATTCATGCTTATGGATGTCCTCTTCATCCAGGTCATTTGACCATTTGCTCTTCCCCAATTCTTTCACTTCCTCAGGTGGATGATCTGCTTCAGCTTGGAACTTCTCATCTTCCTCTAGGGAACCTGATATAAATGTGATAGCATTAAAGAGTTGATACACACAATAAAACAGAAGTAGAACATGTGGCTTATGCCAACTTGGCATAATAAGACTCGTGGAATCATTTCCAGGAGTACAGTTCCTTAAAATTAATCACGGACGCTGTTAACATCAAACAAGGACAACAGCAATAAGATAAGCTAAAGTTGTTGGCAATTGCAAGACAGCATTCTGGCATTTCTCAATGTCCACGGGGTTGACAAGTAAATCAAGCAAGACATGCATGAAGGAAATTTTTCTGAACTTTATCCATGCAGATAACAATTCAACTCAGCAACTGATTTTACTGATCACTAATACCTTCTGAAGTTTTAGAATGACTTCAGTAATAATCCAACAAAATGCACAGTGAACAAATGTATAAATTAATTGGTAAGATTCAACAAATATCAGATCCTCAAAGACAACAATAAATGTAAGAAGGCAGCAAGAGTTTACAAGACACATAACATGATTGGTAAAATGGCCGTAAGTTAAAAGAGAGAAAGACGTAATGAAAAACAATACAATATTGAAACATTTATATTGTACCGTCAGAAACAAGGCCGCCTTGAAGTACTCCAAGCTTCTTTCTAGTACTTTCAGAAGTACTGGAATGACCTCCAACATGATCTTCATCTTCCATGTCCATGTCAACCTGGCAGGTATGGGATTAGGATATAAGAAAGCAGGATATCACAGCAAACGAGGACACTACTCAGAACATAGCCCCAATAGTTTCTTATCTGTTATACGAGTAACTGCAAAATTTCACACTTCTTGGACATGTAAGTATGAAAATTCATCAAATCATTTTCTGTAAAACAGCAAGTACCCTTTACCCCACTATGTAAAATCATTCTGTATAACAAAAACATTTAATTAGAGACGGGGCCTTGTTAATCTTTTCAGCGACCCCACCTGAGGTGGGTTTTTAAGTACCAGTAAGAACAAAAGGAAAGACCAAAGAGGCGCACCATGGCCTATATGATGTTCGCGAAATCATTTGGATATCAAGATTATATGTCTACACTTATTTACTAAAACGCTCCCTTACAAGTCATATTACAATGAACATAGTGATACTTTATTAAATCTCTACTTGCAAAGCATCAACACATTCTAACTTATGATTGAATAAAAAATGAAAGACCGCAAAAAGGAAATAAAGATGTACACATTTAACAAATTTGAGTTTTCAATTATCTTCTATTTCTTTTTTCCCTTCTCGTGTCTTCATCCCCCTCTTAGCAGAGAAGCAAAAAATCTATCTGGCAAATATGTAATAGCATTACCTCTTGAATACCATTCTCCTCTAAACAATCTCCACGAAGCAATGACTGCAGGGTGCATGAAATGCAAGTTCAGAATTAAGCAATAAATTTTAAGAAACCCAGTTAAAAATCATAATCATCTCATGTGCAATCTGCTTGTGTAACAGCAAATCCAGTTAGAAATCATAATCATCTCATGTGCAATCTGTGTAAGTAACAGCTTTTACAGTAAAAGGCATGACATCCATCAATAATCACCACCATCATTCTCTGGGATTCTTTTACATGTCAAGCTTTACACAAGGGTAACCAATTAGATTAAATATCCAACTTCAGATATAATCTCACTAATTAAAATTCGAATGAATTCTACGGCAACACACCTTTATATCCAGCTTCAGGTACAAGGATGGAGCTTCTTCCCATAGATCAGCCATCTTACGTATATCATCCAGGATGAAACCATGCACGTTTCTTGCTGCACAGCCCTACAGGCCCACAAAGTTCATCAGAAAGTGCTACACAGTTCAAAACAATCCTTGCATAACAAGGAAATAGAGTTGAACCATAACATGTGCCAATACATAAGCATAAGCCATTCAGGCAAGCAATGGTTTAAACCAGCGGCAACTTTTTTAATATTAAACCGTCAGACAATCAAATTTTATGACCAAGAAAAAAGTAGATAATGAGATTACCGCAGGATCCTTGTAGGCAGCTTCTAACAGGTACACTTCATAGCCTGCTCTCTGGGTACAAAAAAATGAAACTACAATAAGAGGGGAAGATAAATAAATACTAATAAGTGGCTGTAGATGATGCATGTACTTTGATAAGAGCAGAATCAACAACATGCAGTATAACACCCCTCAACCCAGTAAGGAAAAGTCACATAACCAGAACCTTTCTAGCAGAAGAAAGTTGTAAAGTTACAACGAAAGTGCATGATAAACTTATTACCCAGTACTTTCAATTTCCACAACATGTGACTCATCAATAATAAGCCAAGAAGCATTCGACCCAACTAACAGAGAAATGCAACAGAGAGATGCCACCAGCTAACAACATTGTCAGTTTATAAATCGCTTATTTCCCAGAAGTATAAGGGACGAAACTTTACATACTCCAGCTAGCCGCAGATAACATCCCCAACAATCGATGATAGAGACCAGAATAAGCAGAAGCAAATAGAAATATACTCTGACAAAAATAATGCATCTAGAATTCAGTTAACTCTTCAAGGGCACAACAAACTACAAAAGAGTTGGCACTAAAAGAGAAGGAGAGAAAACATAAATCAACAGAAGTTGCAAATACAATAACGTTTTTCTCAAATAATCCAACATGCAACTACTAGCTTTAACAAACCAGCACTCATCAAGGTAGGATCAACACATCATAATATAAATATGCATTACACGGAAATGGCAAATATGATTAGAAGAATCTCAATATAATTAGTGCGTAAAAAAAAAAAATTTACACTGCTTTAAATTTATATTTCCTTAGTCTACACAGCAAGGGCAAATTGTCCATTAAGCCAAAGAGAAGTAAAGATACGGCAAAAATTCTCATTAAACTCAGTGCAACAGAACTAAAATGCCAATTATTGGTATGGTTTGGTATTGCCTTCACAGCAATAAATTCCCAACACTAGATACATTTCATTCTAGAAACTGTTTTGCATAACACTTCTGCGGAATCACACAACGATAACAACTAACACCAGTAAGCCTTTTCTACAGTGTTCATTGATTTCTAAATGAAAGTGAAGTTGGCACCCATTACCTCAAAACAAAACTTTGGAAAATTATCAACCTACAGATAGCTTTAATGAAACAACAATGCTGCTAAGTGGGCACAAAACACTAAATATGCACTCAAAATCCAACAACTTAAAAGTAGACTCGTAGTTCCTTACCATAAAAGCTAATGGTCTAGTTTATTAAAGAAACTAAGCTGGTAAATGAACTAACAGGAAGTTACCAAATAAAACGAGCTGCCTATTTTTGAGCCTATACCAAAAAGAATAAGTATCTTAATCATATAACACGTGTTTCAAATATTAATTGATCTTCTGGCATTCTTAAGTTAATACTGATTTTCAAATAAGAGAAAGTACTTGTGCATAACAATTTCTACACATGTTGGCAATTAGTACTCATCAGCTTAGTGAAGCTTGTGGCTGGTATTAAATACAAGAGGTGCGTGCATACTGATGTTTTGTTACTCTATACTTTAGAAGCCAAAGTCACTAAACCAACCAGCATAATTGACTTGAACCCAAGGAGAGCAACAAACAAGTGCATCACAACATGACAGGAAGAATTTTTTCCAACCAATAATTACCCAAGTACATAAATGATAACACATTTGTCTTCAGCACAGCAGAGAAACATTGCAATGGCATAAAAGATTCCAGAAGAACATGAAATTGGAGTGAAAGAAATCTTCCATTGAAGGGGAATAAATCTTTCTCCTTCAATCCAAAACGATAGCAAGAAGGTTTTTAGCCAAATGGATGCAACTCTTGCTTCTAACCGATCTTTATAAATTCTTCTCTTTTGTCTAACCTTTACGGGTTGAGTTTGGTTGATTCATAAATGCAAAACTATGACAGAACACATACTTTAATAGTCGTAAAGGCTAAGAGTCAAGTTATATAATACGATGTGTTCAAGAAAGCCAGTAAATTAAAAAAAAAACACACACACACACGCACACACACAAGTATCTATGAATCAGGAATATGAATGTTACAGAACTCTGCTTTTAAGCGCTCTGAATTCTCATCGATTCATTTGAAAGCTTTGCTAGTCAACACATGAGAGAATAAGGAAATACCTTTGCAGTTGCCCAAAATTGAGCAAAATCAGCTACCCGCAGATTGCGGTCATCCACTAAATGAGGCACAAATACCAGCAGGAAACAGGTCAATAGCCGAACAAAATTGTATTCGTACTTCTGAAATTGAAGGCAATGCAGATGCACCGCATCACCACTGATTATACAATCTTTAACCTTAGGTTCACAATCTAGGATAATCATTAATTAACCTAGACAATGTCGTCAATCCTATGAGTGGAAAGTAAAACCCTTTCAACAACTAATCTTTATCATATGTAGCACTAAATACCAACACATAATAGAAGATCAAAGATAACATTGCCTCAAGAAACCGGAAAAAAAAAAAAAAAGCATAAGTGAAGAAAGAGAATTTTAACAAAAATAAGGCTCGGGATATTATAGGACAAGAATGATTCCAGTTGAACTTCACATTGTAAATGATGCTTGAAAAGACTATAACAGCAAATCATTGAAAATAGAATTATCTTCAAGATTAAACGTCATGTTTCTATAGCATCAAATTTCATACCAATAACGAAGTTGAAGCCTCCATCATCAAGGGTCTTTTTAAAGGCCTTCAGCATACTTGACCGGTAAGCCTGACATAGAAGCATCCTGTTAATGGATGAGATCCACAGACCAAACCATACAAGTAGAATCTTCAGACACTATGAGGAATAGAACAACTACAAAATCAGCAACAATTTGGTAAGACTTCTTATAACTTTTTAAACTAGTTCTTGCTTTCTTCCAGGTTTCGGTTTGCAAATACAAGAGTCCAAGGAGATCACATTGAGAGAAAACAACAGTAATTCGTACCAACACAAATGACAACTGTGTAAGGACCTTAAATGATTACCATCTAATTGGCAGCATAGTGCCACCAAGTAAATAATAAATGAAAATACGGGAACAAAGGACTAAATTTGCTTAAGCCTTCACAAGTGTAAAACTAAAAAATTTAAACGAGAGAGATAGAAGTTGTCATGCAGGTACAAAACAGTAAGCTAGCCACAGACAATGGATACCATCTATTACCAATAAGCCAAAAATGATTATCCCTTTTACAGATTTGAAATGAATGTCATCACCTCTTCCATTTCAGGTTCATAACAGTATTCCATGACTTTCTTCGTAACTGCCTTTTTCCCTCTAACAGTCCCAGAAGTCTTGGGAGCCTCACTCTCCTGAACCTGTAGGATTTGAATGACCGTCACATGAGACAATTTTAAATATGGACCGATATAATAGAAAGTTTGTAGATCCATTTAACTTTAAACACTTAGATATGATAAAATGATATTTCAGCTCGGAAACCTAGCCAACATCAGTCATGAAGAAATCAGCAAATGAGTCTAGACTTTTTAACAATTCTTCTCCAAATGTGTAGGAGTTTAGTCTCTAATGTTAAGGCAGAACAAATTCAGTCATTTATATTTCAACTTAAAAACAAATTAACAGTTCCCATCCATAAACTCAAGTAAAATGCTTGTGAAATCCACCTATTTGACCACTCAGTTAGTAGAAGATAAACCTAGATATTATTTACTAAATAGTAACTATCCCTTTGGACTGATTTTATTCTACTTAAATATGAAAACTCCCAAACTGCAATCTGAACTGATGGAAAGTGTAATTCTCTTAGTTTTGGTAAAAAGAGTGGACACTGGTTTAACAAAACCTTGAAATTCTGACACGTAGATATCTTGCTAGCATACCATTGTAAATGCTAATTGTCCTGGAAGGCTTAAACTTTAAACATAGAAAAGTTAAGGACCAATTTGTCAAGCTTAAGAAGTTGGGACTGAATTCACCATCCTCCTTAAAATTACAGCTAAAACGTGTAGAAACTTCTTTAATGATGCATATAACATCACATATACACACAGGAATGAGATGGACTTGCTAGATTAAAAAAGCTATATGAGTAACAATGAGCACCTTTTCAACTTCAGTCATGAAGTAATCATCAATCGAATGAATTCGAGGAACACTACCACCATTTTCCACCTCAAGATCTCGTAACATTTTTGCCATGTGGCTCTTCCCACTACCTATACAATACAATGAAAACTGTAAGGTTCCATTTCAAACAAAGACCTATCACTTAATATCTGCAGGTGGAAAAAAAAAAAAAAGGTTCAAACCATTTCGAACAAAATCATGATGCTTGAACTTTTAAAAGACACAAAATGGGAACTAGAAAACAAATAAATCCTCTATTCATACATCAGGGTTAAGCTTTAACATTGTGATAAGGAGATAGAGGTTGAGTAGGGTTGACAGCCACAATCAAACTTGTGACACTTAATGATCTCGATAATACAAGAAATTCTGCCAAGTAGAACACAGTAGAGAGACATGCCCCATACAGCATACCCAACATGGATAGAGAAAGGCTTACTAGTCGTAGTTATTGTTATTGATTCTCATCAACTAAACATCTCACTCTTTGCAGGAAAAGACAGAAACCAGACAGACTCCTAGGAACTTCTTTCAGACTATTTAATTGCAAAATTTAAAATCGGACTGCATGTTTTCTGTTCTTGTGGATGCACTCCAATTGTGTGAAGATGACAACTCAAGATCCTTACACATAAGAAGCGTATTAAGATAGCAGAAAACAATGGGAAAAACCTGGAAGTCCACGGAGGATAACGACAATGCGGTCAGGTCGGGATGCCCTATGGGGGTACTTTATTATGTGAGAGGCATCAATATTTTGTGGTTTAGCAGGTGATAAACAACTTGGCGCGACTTCCATCCCAGCAAAGTATGCTTTACCGGCTGCTTCCTGAGAGGCTCGTAATTCCTGAAACACACATTCAAGTATAAGATCTCAAATCTACCATGCTGGGGGAAGAGATGCAGAAAGAAAGAGGAACCAATGAGAAACATGAAAAGGTCCACAGGTATGTTTCCTCCAAGTTATTCAAGAAATCATTTGAATGAATTTCCAAAAGAGAAATCATACAAAAAGACTTGAATGAAGTCAAAGTTCACAACACAGCTCAAGTGAAATGATAGTTTGATACAGTAAATCTTAAAGCCCACAGAAAAGCAAGAACATAACAGAAAGACAGCAATGCTGAATTCCGGCAATATTCAAAAAAAATACAGATTGATATATCCACTCATACGATAGTGCATGGAACACTGTGGAAGAGCATAACTTGATTCTTCCCAAAGTGAAATACTACAAATAACCTAGATTTATGCAACCTGTTTCACCTTAACTATAGAAATGAAAATATCATGAGAGCAGCAACTATTTCCAATTATCTTTATAACCGACCCTGCATCAGGTGGTGTAAAGGCTTTGTTGTATTTAAACTAATTTATGATTGGTACTGAACACTTTTCGGATATGATAAACCTTTTGAATATATCACAACGTTAATTTTGTTCCAAATTTTTAGAATCAAATCTTCCTTGTACTTTGCCATGATGATTTTATGGTTCCTCTGGATAGTTAACTTGTCCCAAACAGAAAAGTTTAAAGAGGACACCCCATAGACCATACATACTCTCTAGTAGAAAGTGCAACATATTTTATATGGCTGAACCTGTCCATGTCCAATAAGAGCTATGTAATCATTCATAATTCTACGACTTCACCTGCTTAGAATTATCATTGAACTCCTGGAGCAATTGCCCATTCAGAATTGTGAACTAAGATGTTCATTCAGAGCACTCATAAAGAGCCTATTATAATGCATGACCACCATAAAATTGTGAGAAACTCATCTTGTATATGAGTTGATTACAGTAGAAATAATCCTCAGCAAAAGTCAAACACGAGAGAAATAATACGTAATAAATAACTTGGACCAAGGAAACTAGGCTTGAGAAGTCCCAACAAACACAAAAATGTTCAAGGCTCAAGATAGGAAGAGATGATTAGTGAAAAAATTCTAAAATCCCCTCAAAACCAATTGAAACTGTGGAGAGGGCAAAGGATGTTATTTGCTAAACTTAAAGGTTCCATAAGCAAATATGGGAAAACACTTGCAACGCCCTCTAGTGGTAAAACTAAATCAGAATGCAAGCGAAAGAACCTTGATGAGGACGAAGGCCTAAACCCAACCCGACAAAGTCGAAGTTCAACAGGGCTTATCTCAATGTGCACTGACAAAGGAATGGGTTATTTTTGGATAACTCAATCAAATCCAAACCGAAAGCTCTAATACGATAGCAGAAATATAAGCATTCAACTCAAAACAAATTTGTAAAAAGTAAAGAGCCGCAAGGATCTATTAGTTAGTATTCGAATCTAAGGGAATCCAATCTGGAATGCTTCTAATGTTAATCCAAGCCAGGTAGATTTTCAGTTTCTCATTGATATAACTGAATAAAAACTGTCGATATGCAAATTTCTTATAACTTAAAAGTAAATCTCGGCGTCTTTTAGGACTTCTCTGGTTTTAGGCATAGAAGGTACGAGCAAAAGGTTACCCCACAGGTACGAGTAACGAAAGAAAACCTAAGGCACAATATAAGAATGGGGACGCCTTTATGAACCTACAGAAGCAAGCACTTTCCGAATTCAGCAAAGGTTGCTCATGCCACCAGATCCAGAATGCCATGATGTGAACTCAGAGATAACAAACATAAGAATAGTTAACCACTCCACAATATGAAACTTCAGGGGGAAGTGCCGCATCTCATAAGTATTCTCTAATGCAAAGGAGCATCAATTTTGACTCCCTCAATCAAAAAAATGCTTCTACGCCTGAAATAGGCCTATACTTCCACTAGGTAATTAATCATACTACAGTGAATTCTACTTTATCATCATTCATTCTTTTAGCAACAAGACACAACAATCTTTCCTATTTATTCAGCCAGACAGTTTATTTTTCTCAGTCTAACAGTTACAAACCAGCTGCATAATATTAGCATCTGATAAAGAAATGGCATCATACCTGAGTAACATAACCACTTGATGCAAGTATACGACCTTTATTGAAATCGTATCCAGGCACAGAAGGATAAGATGATGCCACAGCAGCTGAAGAATTAGGCAGAACCGGAAACAAGGAGCCAGATGATACAGTTGGTGATGACAAAAAGACCGGCTGAGACTGATAATGTCCCGGAGATTCCACCGGAAGTGGGGGTGGTGGAGACAGAGGAAGCGGTGGCTGTTGATAAGGCAAGCCACTTCCAGGACTATGCAACTCCCGACCAAAGCCACTTCTTTGATCATTAGGATAACCAGAAACACTTCTTTGATTGAGTCTCATTGCTTCACTATTTTCCATCGGCAGACCTACACTATTGAGACTATTCCTACTATGTTCGTGCACATTTGACTGATGAAATCTATGATCAAACTGATTACCCCTCAATTCTCCATATTGTACAAATTTCCCATCCTCAATGTTCTGGGCACTACTCTCTTGAACCACAAAATTCCTCCTTCCATCAAATTCGGTATTTAAAGGGGGTTTAATCCCTGCATCCCTGAATTCATCGAAACTCCTTTTGTCCCCAGAATTCCTATCAAATTCACCGCTCTTCACACCACCGTGATCCCGAATGAGTTTCAACCGTCTTTCGTCATCTGCAGATGAATTAATAGAATGCTCATTCGCGTACCTCCCGGAGGGACTTGAGGAAAAGCCAGAATCATCAAATCTCATCCTCTTCGCCCCAACATTACCGTAATTTTTCTCATTATTTGCATAAAAAGACCCATGCGGGTCTCTATTGAACCCATTATTTGAGCTCCAGGGAGGTCGCTGTGAATCAATAAACGGGCGCTGGGCCTCCGGTTGTGGAGCACCCCTGAGAGGATCAACAAAAGGATCGTAGGGCGCCGGTGATGGGATAGGCGGCGGCGGGTGTTGGGGAGGTCTGGGATAGAACTGATCGGGGCGAGGAGGAGGAGGAGGAGGAAGAGGTTGGGGCGGTGGAACTTGATAACGATAATAGTTAGGAGGGTAGGTTGAAGGGAAAGGTGGAGGGCAGAATGGAAAGTGAAAGGTTGAGCAAACTGGGCACATGGTACCATTCGCCGGCGGTGGCGGTTGCGGTGGTGGAGCAAAAGATGGCGGCAGTGGTGAAGGAGGACGGTGGGGGTGGTGCCAGGAAGGATCCATCTTCTCGACCCTTTACTGTAAAGGAAAGCAAATTCGACGTCTAAAATTCGTTCACGTTCAGGGCGGTCACCGGTGAGTGAATTCGATTATACAAGACCCACGCCACGATGTTAGTTTTGCTCCGGTTTGGGTTTTTCTTCCCGAGTTTTGGACTTTTGACAAAACAAAACCTCCAAGTTTAAATAGTGCTACAATTATCACCCTAACTGTTGGTCAACTTACCAAATACACCCTGATCATCGGTAGCATGATGTAACTGCGTCTACCATATTTTCTTAACTCCATATGGTACCTCTCTCGTTATCTTCATTCTCCAAATTGAAGAAATGTTTTTTTATCAACTCTTCCAAAAATCCATTCAACCTTTTTTCTTTCTCATTACTTTGGTAAATAAAGTCCTCAAAACTAATCATTACTCCCTTCTATCGATTGAAATCATATTCCAAGAATATTGGACAATAATGATTGTACTAAATCAGTGAACAACGAGAAAAAAATTATAATTACGATAATAGAGAGTTTTGTTTCTAATTTACAGAAAAACTTGCTTCTCTTTAAGTTAAACTAGGTTATGGACCCGTGCAGTTGCATGAGTTTGGTTTAGGCAAAAAATACTTGTAGATAATATATATCACTATCTTTATAATACTCACTATGTCCCTAATAAATAGTTTATATTGAAATTTTTACAAAAAAATTATACAAATTTTAAAAATTAACATATTTTGGGACAGAAGTAGTATACATATTAATTAGTATAACGATTTGTGATAATACACTATTTTAAAATGACAATACTTGGAAACTTATTTGCTGATAACTGATATTCACAAAAATCATAAATTCACATGATATTCTTATTTTGTTATTGAGATTTGGATAAAAGAAATCGATGAAGAATTTTGGAGATATTAAGATTTATCTGAGAAGTTTATTTAGAGGTAGAATAGTGTTTCAGTTAAAAGTGGAGTTGCTAGAGTTATGGATCAATCATAGATTAAATACAATTATGATTTTATTTTTATTTTTCCTTATACTTAATATAAAGGTACAGTAGGCAAGAAATTAAATGCCCAAGAAATATTCAGGGCCACCTTCAAATTGATCTCGTACGTCGGATGGTCTTGATATGACGTCAGCAATTTATTGGGGGCAAAAAGGAGAATGCATAAATTCAATTTCAAATTAATGAATGAGAAAAAATATGAATTTTTAGTAACCTTCAAATTGATCTCGTATGTCGGATGGTCTTGATATGACGTCAGGAACTTATTGGGGGCAAAGAGGAGAATGCATAAATTCAATTTCAAATTAATGAATGAGAAAAAAATTTGAATTTTTGATAAAAAAAAGTCCCCAGATATCAAAACAACGTCGTTTTATACCCTTATTTTATTCCCAGCAGTGAAAACGGCGACGTTTTTGTATCAATGTTTTCTTTTTAAAAAGAAATTATACTTGCGCTTCATCTTTCCTTTTTTCCTTCTTGTTTTTTATCCTCCTCCCTCTTTTTTAAGACCTTTACTTACGCTGATACCCCCACCGTTTTTCGGGACCGAAGGATTATATATAAAAAATTGTTACAGACACGAATTGCGACCGCAGTTCCTCCGCCGCGACTAAAACTATAGCTGCAGCTAAATATCAACCTGCCGCTAAAGACCACCTTCAAAATTGAATTGCCGCCGCTAATCACCATAACCTCCGTGCAGAGTTGTTGAAGTTTATCGTCGGAACGTTTGTCGATTGAGTCCATAGATTTGATTTTGCAACCTTCACCGGTGAGACTGTTGGGGACGAAGATAAAGAGCAGTAACGAGAAGAGGAAGGGGCTCTAATCTTGATCGATCATAGATCGTGGTGCTAGACAAGATTTGAAAATTGTTCTATATACACTACTTTTTCTACTTTTTCTTTTTCTTTCTATTTGAGCTCTAATTCTATTGTTGCGAAGAGTCACTCACCGGATTTTCCAGAGGGTTTTTTCCTCTTCGCTCCCCACTACCGTGGATTGTGCCACCAACTCACTCACCGGGAAAAAAAAAAGTTTGGTCTTTCTGTACTATTGCTGCTGCTTCTTTTTCCTTGGAGTCTACTCCTAATCTTTTCTTCTTCTTTTTTTTGTTGATTTTTGTTGGTGTTTACATTGCAGAACTTTCTAATAGGGTAGAAACCAGAATTGCATAATTTCTGCTATTTGTTTCTGTTGAGAGCTCTCCGCGCAAAAAGAGGACACCAAACCACAACAAATGCCAAGGACAATCAGAAAGACTTTTTTGCTGGGGCTCTCCGCAGTTCCTGAATTGTTTTATTCTCGAAAAGGTTTGTTTTGGTGTAGTTCTCTTTTTATTATGATTTGTTTTGATTCTACTTTTGCCATTCAATAGGGAAATAGTTACTGCATCATGAAATCTTGAATGATATCTAATCTTGTCTATGCTCACTGAATTTTACTTGGTCCTAATCTTTCCATATTTTTCATGTTGCCTAATCTGTTGTTTTTTTCATGGATGTTCCAATTAAACTTCATGGAGATGGTATCGTCTTCGTCGTCCTCCTCGTAAGAATTTGATTATTTGTTCAAGTTATTGTTGATTGGGGATTTCTGGAGTAGAAAAAAGTAGTCCTTTGCTCAGCTTTACTCCAGATACCTTCAAAGATCTCTCTCCTACCATAGGTAATACTGATTTTATTTTTTCCTTTCATATCTTTTGTATTAAAACGAATTTGAAGTTTTGATCTCAATATTCACATATGCTTATGATTTTGGATGGAAAGGTAGGATTTTATGAGAATGTTTGAGTTGTTGAATTCTATTTAATCTAGCAGAATTTCATGTAAATGTGTTTGTTTTAGGTTGTTGTCGGTTAGTCATCGAATTGAACTCTTTCAGAATATGAAGAATTATAAGGAGAGTGAGAAATAGAGAGATATTGTCAGCAGAATTGTGGAACCTGAGCTATGTTATAAGGACCTTTGCAAGATAGTTCCTTTTTAAAGTTTCTTTTTTTTGAATCCTATTGAATTGGCCGAATGTTTGTTCTTCTTTTGTGTTTCAAACCAATTTTAAATGTACATGGAATATGGAATATTTGCTGATCAATTGGTTTCATGTCAATTTATCTTATGTTAGTTGGACAAAGGTACAGACCTTTCAACCCTAGTAAAAGTTCTCATGACTTACTATTTTTGGGGATATGATCATGTTTCCATTGGTGTGTTGTATATTGTCTCCACCAAACTTGGTTTGTTTTGAACCTATTTAATTGCAAAGTGAAAATTGAAGTGGAAGGGAGGCTTTTTTATGCCTTAGGTTTGAACACATAAAATTTTGGTTTATTGAACTGGTAGACATTCTTTGTTGTTGTTCCCTAAATGTGATCTATATGAGAATACATTATCAATCACTTTAAAATTAATTGGGTTACAGAGGATCCTTTACTGTCAACAAAGTGAATCACGTGGAAGACTAATCAAATGTAGTTTAGTATATGATCGCAACAAAATTGCATCAAATTGGGACCAAAATTTGTCATAAATCCTCACACCACTAGATATCTGCACCAAAATTTGTACTTCTTTTACTAACTTTATATACTTGTGATGTTGTAATGTACTCTTTTTCTGATTTTATGTTTCTAATATTTGGTTGTTTTATAATAAAGAACTAAAATACCATCTCTTTATATGTCTATGGTTCAAAAAAGTTGATTAGCCTTGAGAAATTACCTCCATGTCTAGATTTGAATATTTTCTCTAATTAATACGCCTAGGCTCTATTTGATATGTATGATGGATTATTTGAAAATTTGGAATACAAGGATGAGCTACTTTAGTAGCATGATAAGGCTCTTGGTGTAAGGGGAAAAAATGATAGCATACAGATTTGCTACATGCATTAATGAGTCACTAACTTGATTTCCTAATTATGATAGTTTATTTGTGGTAAATTTTATTTTACCAGGTAAATAAAATGCTGGATACTTGGCTACTCATCTTAATATTAGTACCTGATGATTGCGAATGCTTTGGGGAGAAGCTACCCGTTTCTGCTTTGGATTGACTAAGCATAGAGCATACTGCAGAGTTTTTGAGTTAAAAAATGGTTCAAAAAAAGGAGTAGAGATAAATATAGGTCGAATTTTGGAGAAGAGCAAAACACCGATATCGGATTCCTAAAATCCGATTTTCTAGCTAAATCGGATTCTCAAAATCCGACCTAACCTTAATACAAAAAATTAATGAAATTAATCAAGATTAAGAGAAGATCGGATTTCAAAAATCCGACCCTAAAATATAAAAATAATATATTTTCCGAAAAACACTTAGTTTTTTTTTTGAAATTAAATTTTGACCGAAGTCGGATTTTTAAAATCCGGTTTTAAATTAAGGCCGGATTTCATAAATCCGGGTAAGTTTAAATCGGATTTTGAGAATCCGTGTAAGCTAAGGTCGGATTCTTAAAATCCGATTTCTTCTTAAAACAAGTTGAAGGTCGGATTTCTTAAATCCGACCTTGGACAGACTCTTTGAAAAAAATGAAAGATTGGTTTCTAAACCAATCCCAATCTATCAAAACAGCACCAAAACCAAATTTCACAAATAAAATTACCTATAAACACATTCTAAACACATCAAAACAAACATTAACAAATTCAAATCCCAAATCATCCAAATTACAACATTTATACATGAAAGAGTTATAAAATAAAGAGTCCTACAATTGAATTACTTTGACGACCTTTTCTTCCTCGTAGCCCCATCGCCGGGAGTATACTTCTTGGCCGGTTTACTAACCCTATCACTCTTGCGAACCTCGACCGTTTTCTTTTTCTTTTGGGAAGAAACACGAGGTGGAGAGGACTCTTCTTCTTCTTCTTCTTCTTCTTCTTCTTCTTCTTCTTCGCCCCTAATGTAGTAATCATCATCGCTTTCATTGCCTTCATCATTTTCATCATCTTCTTGCATTGGAGTTGGATTAGGATGAACTATGATTGTTTGATCTGAAATTCCCGGTCGCTTCCTCCTTCCTCCTCCAGTAGGCTTCGATGTTGTTTTCTGCGTGAGTACCACATTTTGACTTGACTCAGGGGGTCTTTTCTGAAGAACTTGAGTATCGGACTGAGTGCTCATATCACGTGGGCCCAAAGTCAGGGCACTGAAACTCTTGTCGAAGATTTGGAAGAGTTTATCCTCTAGACTACCACCAAGGCTTGGATTTTCCCGTAAGGCTGCATCATCGAGATGATATATGTCGCGAGATTGGAAGACTGCAGAAAATTGAACCATGTGAATAAAGTGT